GAATCGGCAGTTGCCACAAGAAGCTAAGCCCATGTTTGATAAGCCGAATAATAACTACGAGATTTGGTTTTGAGTTACTTTCGCATCAACCGTGTTATTTCGGTCAAGCCGCAAGTGATGTTTTTCTATACTCAGTCCTCCAGAGATTCAATACAAAAAAGAGGATTCTTTTGAAACGAAAGAGTGTTGAAAAAATTATATCGAAAAGTTAGTTGATCGCTATAATATTGAAATTAGAAGTCTTTTTTTACGACAACAATGAAGCTGAAGAGTTCAGCCTGCTATATATGTAGGTTAATATGTGATCCAAAAATTAGGTAAAATGTTTCGTCATTCTCACTATGAATTGACATCCCTTCTACCTCCTCTTTATTTGCATTATTTCGCAGTTCACTCAAAACAAATTTTAACCAGCTGACGTAAAAAAAGATAGATTTTTCATTTTCGCTAACTAGGCTTAACACACAGCAGATGAGCGTTGTATATATGTGTGTGTGAAATAAAATTTCAGCTAATTTGACGAATTTTGGTCCAACGTAGGATGTGCAAAAGGAAATTATAAGCATAAAAATGCATACGAGTATGCATGTATGTGTATTTGTTTACCTACAAATGTCAATTCCGAGCCAAATCGCCAAACCAACTCAACCAAAGTTGTTGAACCAAAGGTGGAGGCAAACGAGTACGACCATGTTGGCAGCTCATCAAGGGATTATGTGCAACAACAACAAATGCAACAATGACAATAACATCAATACAATGTCCGTATGCCATATTGAAGTTACGTTTGACAACTTGCGCTGGTATGCGTTTTCGTATGTGTATGTGTATGTTGTTTGCTGAATTTCGTTTGCACAAACCACTCTCGGACAATTACATCGAGTGGCATTTTTAATTTATGTCGCCATTACATTGTACTAATAGTGGCAGTAAATTAACGTCAATATGACATGAGCGCACACACAAACATACATGTACATATGCAGTCAAGTCAGCTGCACACTGAGTGACATCGATGGAGCGCACTGAAGTGCTGGCGGAAAATTTGGAACAGTTTGTTTGGCCAACAAGTTGCAACTGCTCGCCAGTGTGTGTGTGTGTGTGCAAATGTCTGTGTATATGTTTGCAGGTGCTTTTGCTCTGCATGTTGCGGTGTGCAGGCGCGCATGTATTGACATCCTAAACCGCACGTCACATCAACGTCACTGTCATTAGCATCAAAATTGAAATTTCACATCAATGCAATAGTCTGTCAATGGGTGCTGCGGACAGACAGATTGGCTGTAGTCGTAAATGTAAACAAATGTCAAAATGCTAAAGTACTGTGTTCGTGTGGTCTGACATGATGTGCTTGCTTGCAGTTTTTTAATTATTTTTTGGTAATTAAAAAATTTTTTTAATCAAAATATTACACCAGATATAAAGGTATAAAAATAAATAGTAGATCTACATATCTCTGATTTTTTAAATTCATATATAATATATAAATTGTTGTATCGTAATCATTTCATACGAGGTGTGTTTAATGGAAGAGGTGAATTTATATTATATTATATATTGTATTTATTATATTTTGTTTTCGTTATAATCGGACGCACATGTTTATTATGTGCCTTCAATAGAAGTCAATTTCGATAAAGAGTTTGTTTTTGACAACAGAGAAGGTTAGTCACGTTTTTGTATGCTCTTCGATTTTTCACTTCTGAAAGGAATGGATCAAATAATATGTATTGCCTTTTGCGTTCAAAATTGAACAAAGTACTCCAAGGTAATTTAAATTTTGACTATGGCATTCGGTGAGTCCACTTTGTCTCAAAAAAGTGTTTATAAGTGGTAAAAGCGCTTTACAGAAGACCGAGAAGATAGTGATGACGATGAGCATACTGAAGGTGCGACCACGTCAACAAGCGAAGGAAATACAGTGAAAAAAAATTGTTTTTGAAAATCGTTGAATCACTTTTAGAGAAGTTGCAGAGGATGTTGGCATATCAATTGGCTCATGCCATAAAGTTTTATCGCATGTTTTGGGCATAAAACGTGTGGCAGCGAAGTTTGTTCCGAAATTGCTAAATATTAAATTTCACCAGAATTGGCTCTTTGCGACTTTTTCCTATTCTCAAAACTGAAGAAACCAATGAAAGGAAAGCATTGATGAGATCAAGTCATAATCGAAAAAAGAGCTGATGGCCATACCGAAAAGCGCATTTCAGAAGTGCTTCGAGAATTGGAAAAAGCGCTGTCAAAAGTGTATTGTATCCCAGAGGTATTTCTTTGACGTGGAAAATTAAGACATTTATGAATAAAAAAATACTCAAAAATTCATCTTTTCCTTTGAACACATTCTTAAAGTGTTCTAAGGGGCATCAGTACATGTCAAAGAAGGATAACGCCTCATGTAACTTAATATCTAGACTCCCTGTTATTCTATAATTATTTAAGTGTGCCAGTAGTTTTTCGAAATAACTTTTCGTGTATTTAAATAAACACAATCTTCAAATTTATCTATTGATCGTAAAGAGATGGTTTAATTTTTTCTGTACCTAACATTTTTGGATTTGTGCTATAGTTTTTAAAATTAAATTACACAACGAAAATGGATTTTTGGTATGTTTATCGAAGGGCCCAGTTTAAATTGTGCCTTGGACAATAATCAGTGTCAAATTTCGTGAAGATATCTTGTCAAATACAAAAGTTTCTCTATACAATATCTTGTCTTTGGTCGATCAGTTTATATGGCAGCTATATGCTATAGCAATCCGATATTGACGATGCCGACAAATGAGTGGCTTCTTGAGAAGAAAAAGACGTGTGCAAAATTTCAGATCGATATCTCGAAAACTGATGAACTTATTTGCGAAATAGCTAAATCGACTCAGCTCGTCACGCTGATGATTTCTATATATTCTATATTCTATAGAGTATTTGACGTTTGCTTCTGGTTATTACAAACCTTGTGCCAAAACTTATATACCCTGCTCAGGGTATGAATAGATATAAATGTGGCTTTCTGTAAATATGTATTTCAAGTTGATGACTTTCTAAAAATATGATTTTTACAGGAGGATATAGTTGATTCGATCAAATAATGCACTCCTGCTTTGCTAAAAAAATTGCTTGTCTAAAAAAATCGTTACTGATTTTAATGTACGCCAAAGTTTGCGCTAGATGGCGCTTCTAAGCTACTTTGAATCTCTTTTTTGTCACTTGTCGTGAAAAGATTCTTCGTCACTTTCAGCACGAAGATCTAAGGGCTGTACTGACCAGAAAATTTTACTTAGACTATTTTTTCAATCGATTTTATAACAGTTTCGGAAGTGAAAAGGCAAAGCGCTAAGCTGCATTTTGCGTAAGAGCTTTTTGGTGAATCAATTCGTTCATACTACTGCGTGAGACCAAGGATGAGGTGAAAGAATATTTATCTGTGGACTCGACCTTTCGTATATACCTTTAATAAGAACATTACAAGGTCCAGTGATCGCGAAACGTTGTTTTGACCCAGCCAAGAGCTCACAAGTCTATATCCTTTGGCTCAGCGGCCACACAGTGCAATCGCTTGAACACGACTGTATTTTCTCTCTTACCCAATACTCACAGACGAATTGAATCAGTTGGTAGTGGTCAAGCTCAATTTGAGTAAGTTTTACGTTTGATCATTCTCTGTGCTTTGATTTCTAAATCACATCTCTTATACAAAGTATTCATTATGTAATTTATCATAACAATAGAATACCGTTACTTTCTAGTGTAAAACTCATACCCACTTTCGTCCTTTACAACAACGTGAATGTATTAGTATTGAATTTTTGCAAAGTCAACTGCTAAACCTGTCTAGCCCTTGCCCACCCGGTAGGTAAACCCTTAAGAGCTGTAGACGAAATGCAAGTAGCAGCCCGAAAAGCCATTTGCTGTTGGTCATATTTGTGGTTTCGAATGCTACAAATCAATTGCATCGTTGTTATTGTAATTACAAATGTTTTTGGCTGCGACATATACACACTCACCCATTCACCGATATACTCACACATGTGTCTGGCATAAATTGTCTGTGACTTGAGTTACAACGCGGACCAGTTTCAAATAACAACTAACTGACCACCAACTGCCAGCCAAACACCAACAACAATAACAACAAACGCCAACCAATTGTGTGTGCAATTGAATGTAAATACCAGCATACATACATACATGCATATGCATATGCATATGTGGGGGTACATATTTTGGGGTGTGCCAAAACGCTCAAGTCAATTTGCAACACCGCAAACGTACAGTCTACTACAGGCTAGTGCAACATAACCGCAACTCGGTGCATGCGGTGTGGTGGTGGTGTGAGCGGTGAGCGATAGTCTGACTGTATTCCCCAAATCTAAATCCGAAGCGACTAAATGGGTTTAGTTTTACTTCAAATGCCTGCTAACCGTAAATGTATGAGGACAGCGAAAGTGGTAGCGGAGAAGAGAAGGAAAGCAATTGACTGGGCTGAAAATTTACACTTCAAATTTGTAGTGTGGGATCCGGTTGATATTTTTGTTGTTGTTTGGTATTGTGTTGCACATTGTAGTGTTGTGCCTGCTACACTCAATTGTGGTCTTGTACTTTATATGCCACATGCGTTATGGACAATTAATTGTGCTCCTACTACAGTTATACAACAACACTGAAGCAACGACACACACACACACATATATACGTTCCTCTCACTTGTTGGCCTTTTTGCATGTATTTGTGTTGTTTTGTGCGCTTGCATCCTTTGTGGCAATCAATCTATGCTCGTTTGAGCGCTTTTTATGCACAAACTCTTGCATACAGTTTCAAAAGATTTAGTATTACTTTGCAGTTTTTATGCACGCACACACACACATATGCGGAATTATTTAGTCCGACGATGTATTTGATTGTTTCAACGTCATTTTTATTGCCAATTTTATATCAATTTTTGCTGGTGCAATTTATGACAATAACAAAATGGTATTTTCAATTGCTCTCGTTTACTTTTGCAGCCGCAACATGCAACAAAACAACAACATTAAGCTCGCTGTGCACCAAGGACATACGCGCGACAGTATTGGTTTGAAAATGTTACTCCTGCTAGCGATATTTTTTTGTTGTGGACCATTGCCGGCAGCTTCGAGTCTCGATGGCCTTCAAGGACAGTCTATTAAAGGTGAGTTTATCGCATAAAGTCTAGGTTCATAGTGTATTGTATTTATTCAAATTTAAGAAAATGTTGCGAAATCTCTAATTACGGCTTCCAATTTTAAACGCCTAACTGTAGGCTATGTTTTGTTTTTATTGGCTTTCGGTAGGCACTCTATTCAGCATTAAACTTGGCCTTCATTTGGGAGTAATTGTGAACAAAAAGTATGTCGAAAGATACGAAATAAATAAATATTTATGACGCAACTTAAAATTATATTTTCGTTCGATTCTTTTAACTGCACCTCAAGTATTTCAAGAGCTAGCAACATTTTTTAGCAAGTCGAAATTTAAAAAAAAATTTGCGAGTTGCACTTCAACATAATTACCGTTTGTAATTATAAATGCCTAGTTGCATGCTACATTTTAATTTTATTGGCGTTTCGTTGGGCACACAGCTTTTTCTGTAACATACGATTATCTTCCACCATAAATGCTTGAATATTTGCCCCTAAGACAATTGTCTACGTCTGTTTTAGTAGTCACAGTTGGTCGAAAGTGTTTCGCATAATATTTTTACGTGAAAAATTAAGCCTGTACGAAATTTTCTCTGCCGTAGGATTTCTAAATATTACAATCACAGCCCGGGTTAGCGGCTTTCAGAGGGTTGATTTTTCTTACTTAGATCAAATGAGGCTTGGCTGCAAAAAGGAAACCTGCAATCTTTATCTATTGTTATCCTGCACTGATTAGCTTTGAAAAAAGATCGTTAATATTGTTTAGCTTTCCATAGCCCAACGGGATTCATTTATTTATATTATTGAGCCTTTTCAGAGAAGAAAGAACTATAAAAAATCCAACAATAGATGATTGTACTACTTTTCTTTCTGTTGGCATTTTGAATTTCAAATCATTTTTAATATGTTGAAAGATTATTTTGGAACATTAGAGTTGGCATTTTTGCATAAACCTTATTTTGACAGAGTACCTGATTGCGGGGACTAACTACTAAACGAAACGTACTGTCAAATTTTTATAATATTCGGCAACCCGAAATAGTAACTGAACAAAATTGCTTTAATCTTCCGCTCTGAACTACATATCTCGGGGTAAACCAAAATCGGTGAAAACTGCAAAGCCGATGAGTTTGCTGGAGAGAACAGCCTAACCCAAATTTCATCAAATTGACAACAAGTGAGAACTCTGCTGTCATCTTCTGCTCCAGCATGTTGGCTGGCTTTAGGGACCATACGTGAGCCTGGCAAGCGCTAGTCAATAAACAAAACTTGTAAGGCTGCGAGGTCCTTCTGGTCCAAAGTGGAACGTATGACGTCCTAAGCACTACTTTTTCTTAACAAAGTTCATGGTCGTCGTTCTGGCTAAATACTGTCCAATAGGCTCACCTGCGGTGAGTTTACATTTCTTTTCGGATGCAAATTGCCAAAGCTATATCGAAGAAGGCGAGGTGGACTCATTTAGACACCTGCTTCTTTAATGTTTTGCTTTTGCCAAACAGAGCTTGAAACATCTCAGTATACACCTTTTGGCTTTAGGTAATTACAAGGATCCAGCGTTCAAAGCCGTGGTATACTGCGTTACTTTTAATGCGCGAATCCCATGACCTAACCTAACCGAAGGTAATTGAAAGAGCGAATTTCTCTATGGTAATGAAACTATAAATGGAATCCAAGTGAATTTAGCTCATTTTAAGATTAGCAATTATACGCGATCGGCATCAAGATAAAAAGCCAAAATCTTCAGATGTTCCATCAGATTTTTTGAAAGCAATATGGCTTCTACCTTAAGCACCCGTCTTTAATAAATTATAATCCGCGACTTAAGGCATTTAGTCAAATTATATCATCTCCTAAATTTCCCTTCCAGGCAACTTTTTCAATAGTACAATAAGCTAATGTGGCACGCCCCCACTGTGCCGTTCTCTAGCCATGCATTCAAAAGCGTAGCATAATTTTTGGCGTTTCATTTCATTTGCACTAGCATATTTGTGTTTGTTGCAATCAATATACTTCGCAATGTGAATAAAATAAAAATTTGTAAAAATATGGAAAACTGTTTGTAAAATATCCTTAAATTTAAATAAAAAATCAACACGAACTATTGTAACTGTAAAATGCGCAGAATTGCAAATTAAACAAACGATTCTTGCAAACCGACGCGCATACATTGCAATATAATAGCGAGAAAAACACAGAGTTTTTACACAGCAAACTTTTTATTGACTGCCACGAAATAAATGCGTTACAATCAATACGCTTTATTGTTGTTGTAAAATGTAAACTACATAATTTTTGCAACACACAATTGAAATGTAATGCAATTTTTCTTCGATGCCAAAAAAGTACCGTTTTTTCATCAATATTTAATTGCTTTTATTTTCTTCTCATTTTTGCGCTCGCACTCGCAAACACACACACAGATGCCTTCGGCGAATATTCACTAACCGACATGATCAACGCACAGTCGCAGGGCATCGAATACGAGGAGGCCGACGACGGTTTCCCCTCGTACAAATTCTTACCCACATCCGATGTTAAAACATCATATCGCGTCCTGCTGCCGGAGAGACTTTACGAATTCGCCATACTAGTCAAATTTCTGCCGAACAGCCCGAAGGGTGGTTATCTCTTTAGTGTGATAAACTCCTTCGAGTCTGTGGTACAGTTGGGTTTACACTTGTCGACGGTCAGCAAGAATTTTTGGAATGTTTCACTGCTCTACACACAGTCAGATCAGAGCTCCGTTAGCCGTAAATTAGTCAGCTACCAGTTGCCATACAGGGGCAAAGAGTGGACGACACTTTCATTTCAGGTACTCAGGGAAAAGGTGCTCTTCTACTACGATTGCGAATTAAATACGACGACAACGGTGGTGCGGGAACCACAGGAGTTGGTCTTCGATTCGGCCTCAACTTTGTACTTGGCGCAAGCGGGCCCAAAATTAACTGGGCATTTCGAGGTAAGTGATTTTGGATACGATTTGTTGTTATATTTTTTCGTTTTTATTCGCAAATACGCCTTTTTGGGAAAGTACGCATGGCGGACTTCTTTTTTACGAATTTATATTTTTACCTTCAAATTATTTCATTGAAGTTCAGTGATTAAGCGCAATGTATATTATAATGATTTGATAGCGGCACTTAGCTTTATGGCTGAGTGCCCATATACAGTTTTTTGTAAATTGTGTTGCTATCTTTATTGCAATTTTTAATTTTATCATAATGAAATGTACAGTTAGTGTACTGGATGCTCATTTGGGCGGAAGCAGCGATTTGAAATGTGTTCTCTTTTAAATATAGTGAATTTTAAAGTAATTTACAGGCATTATTTCAACACAAACATTCAATTTAATATCTTTGCAAAATAACTAAATAAATACTCATAGATATAGTATATGAGAACATATATTTCTAAGTTTTGCGTATCGTTGTTTTATACTTAAAATGTGAGTATGGTATTGAATAATTTTCCATCAAAATTGTTTGCATGCCAACAGTAAGTGATTTTTTATACGCAAAATTTAATGTAATTCTTTTCTTATTCTACACAAATTCAAACTCGTGAATTACATTGTTTTATTTTTTCGGTGGAAGGTATTATATTGCTACTCTCTTAAGTTTGTTCGATATCTTTTCTTTAAGGCAACGTTTATTAGTGTTTTAGCATAAAAAATCAATAAAATATCGGTATTGCATATTTTTCTAAGTAAAGTGTAAATATCCGCTTAGGGGAAGCACTGTCCTCATTTATATTTGTGATCACCAAAAGTCGAATTAATACTCAACACTCTGTTCCAACTCAAGAAAGGCAACATGTGAAGGTAGAATTTGGAAAAAAATATGTTATTGCAGGCTCCAACAGCATTGCTTTTTGGGAGAAAATTTCCTGAAATTTGTTTTAAAATTTTTAAATTTAAAATTTTTATGTTTCCTGATTTTCTCGAAACGCTTTGTTTTAAAAGTGCGTCTGGATTCAATTCCACGATTGAAGCTGAGTTCGCCTTTTGTGAATGCAGATAAATCAGATTAAGAAAGAAATTTAAGTTCCATTGACTCACAGAAATATTTCCGGGAAAACGAAAACTATTAATTTTATGTTTTTAACTTCACGTCATCCACTCCATCCACATCCATCCACATCCATGTACACAATTATCTTCCTTTATGGTGCCCCTCAGGGTCAGTCTCAGTTCGTGGAATCCACCAATCCTTCAAACTTTGTACGACTTCTGTTTCTACACTTTAGCTCTCCTATAATCTGATTCCATCAAATTGGATTCAACTTTTACTGATTAATACTCTGAAGTTCATTTGCCTCGTTTAAAAAAAAAAAAAACTTATTGTATCTGCGTGATTTAATTTTGACAATGAACTAATTTACCTATTTACTTACTCTGTTTTCGTGTTATCCAAACTCAAATCTACCTTACATTCTTCGAAAGCAATTTATTATGGCTACCTACGAGCTTCTACATTTTTGAAAGCGATCCTGAGCATAGATAAAATGATCCGAAACTCCTCTCTTTGCCTTCTGAGAGAGCTCGTGAGCTTTCAGTGCTGCCAAAAAAACCACGCTATTGAACAGGTGAAAGCAAAACAATGAACTACCACTAAGAATCCCGCAGAAATAAATTGCGAAATGAGTGGGTAATTTGTGAGATCAGATTTTTTTGTGACTTTTACGTATATTTCTAATATTTATTTAAAGAGATTTAATATAGTTTTGTTTTTAAGAAAGAGCGGGAATTTTGTCGCAGAGTATTGTTTTGCTTAGCAGTACCAATTGCCAACGTATATACAATACATATTTTGGTTAGAATTCCCAGCAAATGTTATGTAAACTTTGACTTCCGTATAAATTATCGAAACATATATATTTATTGAGTGTATAAAAACTAAGTAATGTTCATGTTTAGCTTATTTAAAACTTGTAAGTGTTTTGAAATATTAAAATATTGTGTTAAATTTAGTTTTAGAAGTTAATGTAGAAAATCTAATTTAGATATCTAGCTTGTTAAACTAATTTTAATAATGTACTTTTTTCTGTAAAATGGAAACCGAAATACCCAAGAAATACATTAAAAAATCTCAAAACTTATTTCTTTCCCTAGTGGCACCACTGTCAAATGTCATAAGAAATGTGGACTTTGACAGCGCTCTCTCGAATCAAAGAGTTTCGGATCATTTTATCCATGATCCTGAGGGCTTGACTATTCCGAATAAATTGAACATAACTATCGAGATTCTGATAATTTATTTTTACTATCGACATTTTTGATTAATTTTTTTACTTAAGGAGTAATTTATTAATTTGATTTTGCTTGTATAATGTTGTGGACCTTGTAGGCGCGTATTTGTAATTAATTTTTTTCTCAGTTGGTTATTTGCAAATATTTAAAGTGTACATTAGTAATAATAAAAAAAAATTGCTCCAAAACCTTTAATATGCGTTTCTAAACCACCTACAATGTTGAGAGGGTGGAAAGTTACATCATCTCCGCTTTTAGCTTTTCACCATCGGCGTTTCCGAGCTCTGAAGCAAAGCTATTTGCCCATAGCAACAGCAGCGACAAAAAAGCCTTAATGGGTACAATGAAAATTACTTAGTTTCATAGAAAATAACGGGGTAGCAAGTTGAGTGAGAGAGAGTGAGCAAGAGTAGAGTTTGAGTGAAAAACGATTTCCAACACATTGTGTGCAAATATAGGGGTTGTTACGAAGCGAGGTGAGTTGTTCTGCATACCAATTGTAAGCCATTTCACCACTACTCTACGTTAACGTTGCTGGCGACAGATGGCGCGAAGAGCGTTTTCCGCTATTCTGGAGCACTGAGTGAATTTTGCTTCTCGCGCAAGTGGAAGTGTTGAACTCAGACATTTTTACTTTGTCCACTCTTCGTTGAGACCTAGGACACTCTTTTGGTGATTGTCCAAATAATATTTGCTGAATGCCGCGCTGAATGAGCGAATTGGAAATTCCTTTGCATACATTTATTATTGCATCGGCAGTGTGAGTTTGCTCAAAGGACTCTCAGTTTTCTCATTGTCAGGCTGCGTTTACTAGCCGGTTGGAGTATACTTTCTACCTGGCTCACAGACATTTTTAAGAGCATATTTGCAAACGAGCAACACAATCGGCCATCAAACAAACCCACATGTATGTGTGTGAGGTAAGCGCCTATTAGAGGCTTTACTGGCACTCGGGACGCGCTCGCAGGCTCGTACCGCTGTTCGGTTTGCCACTTTTGCTGAGCGCTCGTGTTAATTCTATTTGCTGAACTGAGCTTTAAATACGAGTGCTTGCATTCGTGTTTCCATGTATATGTGTTCGCGTGTGCTTGTGTGTGTTTGCGTGTACTGTTGAGTTTTTTAAAAAGTTATGCGCCTCAAGTGCGTTTACCTCAGTCGTGTTAGGTGCTGCAACCGGTTAAGATGTGCTAAACGGGAGGCTAACGTCGTCATTGCGTCAAGTGTTCGAGTGTTGCGTTGAGCTGCGTTGCGATTCGCCCGAAACACGGATTCCCTCAGCCATTGGCTATTGTGTGTTACGAGATTTGTTGTTCTCGCTTTTTGTTTTTGTTGTGTGCGTTTACGTGTATGCATATGTGTACACACACGTAGCAATGGTAAAGGCGAAATATTGTCATTGTAGTTGTAGTGTGTGTGCGTCTTCAAGTGTGCCTATGGGTGTGCGCTGTGCAATATTTTGGTTCTGAAGCCACTTGGATGTTGCTGAAGTGTTTGGTGGCAAGTGGCTGCTGTGTGTTGTACAAAATATTATAATTATGATTGTTGCTTCGTAGCAAAAAAAAAATTTATGAAAAGAATAGAAGATGAAAAAAATAAATCGAAAGAAATGTGCAAGTATTACTACTACTGTTGTTGTTGCCATGATTTTGTCTGCTTTCCACATATGGGGTGTTGCTTAAGCATTTAAGTGGATTTTTATTGACTTCCCAACACACGCACACACCTGCATGCACGTAACGACTACTCTACTCTATCTGCCATACACACACATACACGCATATATTCGTGTCCGAGTACAAGTACAATCGCGCGCCTTTCTTTACAGGCATATTGTACGCCAACATACAGCGTCAAGAAAATTGTATAAAATTTTCGGAAAAAGTTTTAAATTTACGCGCAAAGTTCGGCATTGCAGCATTTAAGCGTAAACGTTCGTGAAAACCGGTCGATTAAGTAGACAGTACAAATGTACGCCTTGAACTAAGTTCGCCGCGTATCAAGAATACGACATACCAACAGCAATAATAGCAATAAGTGTGCGGAGAAAAACGTGAAAGAAATCGAAAAACGCATGAAACGTCGCGAACGTGTGCAATTAAGTAATCGAAATGAGCTTAAAAATCATTGCGCTGGAAAATTAACGATAGCGCAAACAGACAAATTGGCTGCCACCTGCCTGGCGGCACGACTGCTCAACTGCCTGCCGCCAGCGACCAACTCCATGTACACTTAATGTGAGTTTGTATGAGAGCCGGCCGGAGTCAAAGGAATCAGATATTTTCCGTTTTGCTGTTTTACTATACAATTATTCGCAAAATTACCACTAAAAAATTATATAGCTGTGAACGCACTTAAGTGAGTAAGCGGCAACTGCGCGCAATTAAGTTACACGTGCACATACACACATACTTATATGCCATAATAGTGTATAAGCGGCGCGCAGTCACCCATTAATTATAAATAAAATACCTGTAATAGCTTAAGCGCTGCATAACCAATGCGATTCAATGCGCTCGTAATTACTTATAAATAACACCGCACAATTTTCATTAATTAATTAAGCATTAAGAAAGTAAACACTAGTGCGCGCAACAAAAATGCCAAAGCCACTTAAAAATGCAATTGCAACAACAAAAACAACGGTAATATTAATATTATAAGCACAAGCGCATTTGTGGCATGAAAAATGCTTGTTCAATTATGCATTCAAG